TCGAACCCCGGTCTTCCGCGTGACAGGCGGAGATACTAACCACTATACTATCGAGGATTGAATGAGTCTTTTTGCTATTTTGTGCGGTGATAAGTTAATAGCTTTCACTCTATGATTTGTTTGTTTCATTTTATTTTGAAAATGCCAATATTTTTTAATGTTTCTACTCGAGTCATGACCTGATAAATTATACGTGAAGCTATTTTGAATTTCGACTGTCAAATTTTACATTTTTTTCGTTCTTGGCTATTAAAGTGGTTTTGGGCATAGTAGATAAAACTAAATAACATTCGGAGCGATTGTCGTCATTCGCAGTTTAAGGAAGAGAAAACGTTAGCACACGAATATGCTGTAAATTTGATCTTTTTTATTACTGTGAATGGAGTAGAGAATTCAATGATTTTGCAATTACAACTGGTGAAATATTTCAGATGTATGCTCTGAAATCTTTATATTACAATATATTTTCGTATTTAAGATTCTTTATTTCATATCGATTTCAAAGTTCAACATCCAGTGTGTTATTTTGTGTTATATTCTTCTGCTTGCAAGGTTGTTTCTTCTTTCGATTTTTCTGTTTCATTTCTTCTTCGAGTTATCACTAGGGGTTTCCGGTATTTCTTATTTATTTAGACTTGATATTTTTTTTAAGTTCTCGTAGGATGGTTTGCCGCTTGATTCCTATTTTTTTTTTTTTTTTTCTCCGAGAATGAAACGTCGAACTTTTTACCACACATTGTATATCTCTGTATACCTCTGTTTCGAACGTATGTATACATTATGAAAACATGTAAACGTAACATGGTACGAAGCTCTCGGATCATTTAACAGACGGTTTAAATACGTGTACCTAATGTTTGATCGATTACACGAGCCTGTAACTTTATCTACTGTATAATGAGTCGAAACACGAGATACGAATTGCGACAAATGAAAGTTAAAGTCAAATATGCAACGTCGTTTCATCAATCTCTTTTAAAGTCGAGGAGGAAACCAAAGGAACAGAGAGGGAAATATTAGAAAGGACATTCCAATTTAAACACCCGTGAAGATACAAATTGACATTGAATCACAAATTCAAATTGTAATGTTTGTTGCTTATATATTTACTGAGTGTTTAATGTGTATTTCATCATATGTATATAGAGATCGTTTTTTCATAACCTTTTGAACCTTTAGAGAATCATATGCACGCGCTTCAATGAGATTGTTGTTCCGTGTAACATGATGTGACGTTATTTGGCAACAAAACCGGTTTCTATTTAGGAACTAGTACGTTCTCATCACTTTTTTTTTTACAGCAAATTTTCTGTACAACAAGCGTATAAATAAAAAAAAAAGGACGATTTTTTGAGGTTAGGATTTTAGAAAATCTCAATTGTATGCCGAGTTGTTCAAAGTGCAGGTATCAACTTTCCACTTAACTGATGTTTCTTCAATTTTTCAATCGCTAATCGCTGGTTTCGTATCTCATTGAAAGAAGTTTGTTAGTTATTGGATTAGGAGCAGGTTAGTTGTGGGATTTCTTTTTCGTTCTTCATTTAATTTCTCGATCATCTTCCACGATCGTTATCGATAACGATAATCTGACACCCTGGCATTTTTCGAATTATGCCGTCTGTAATGCGAGACTTAATTTCGAGGTTATAAATTGTTAAATTAGTCGCCGTCGCAGTTATTGGGAAATCGAGCAAGCTTGACAGCTTTCTTTCTTATCGGCTGTTGGTCGAGTATCTGAAAAAAGTGAAAACGAAGAAAAAGAAGAAGAAGAAAAAAAAGTATTTACATTGGAGCAAAAGAAGAATTTTAATTTTGCAGGGAGGAAGCAATGCCGGGCATACTGTAGTAGTAGACGGTGCGGAGTTCCACTTCCATCTTCTGCCCAGTGGAATAATCAATCCTAGATGTGCTTCGCTTATAGGTAATTATTTTTCGATTATGATGGCCCTTAATAAAAATATCAGTAATATTAAATTAAATTGGCCGATTGCAAGAGAAGGGGAAGAGAGAAAGACTGAACATCTACGTAATCGTTTCGAATGCGAAAGCTCGCGTTTAATAATTTAAACGGTAATTTTTCTTACGTGTCACGATTTTTGGTTATGTTATTCGGTAATCTTTGGGATCAAAGGACTGGTCCTCGATCACCCTTGAAATCTCTGGTTTAACCATTACATCGAAGATGAAAACCAATTTGTTGTTATTTAACATTTTTGCTAAATTTTTTTTTTTTGTTCTTACATTGTGTTGCGGAAGAAATCTAAAATACCCACTATATATATATATATATATATACACACATATTATACACATACTATATACATACATACCACAAGTAATGATTACTTAAAATTTTAACGATTCTTTGCAAATTTAATCTTTGAAAATTTTGGTCTTCTGAGATATTTTCACTCGGTTCCTTTTTTTTTATTTTAGCGAGGGGGGGGGG